GTACTGGAGGAGAGGATCTGTACTGCAGGAGGGGGTCTATACTGGTGAGGATGGATGGATTCTGTACTGGAAGGAGAAAGGGGTCTGCAATAGGAAAGGAGGTTATTTACATTGTGTGCGTGGGGTGTGTGTGGGGGGGGGGGCGGGGGGGGGGGACTGTACTGATAAGGGGCTGGGAGGGTGGGGGGGGTATGTGCTGTAGAGGTGGTCTGAACTAAGGGAACTGTACTGAGGAGGACGTGGCGGGGTTGAATAGTGCTGAGAAGGGATTTGGAACTGTGAGGGGAGATCTGTCCTGGGGGGATATGGGTTTTGGGGATGGAGAGGAGGAATTTGTCATGGGAGGAGAGGGTAATTTCTGGTTGTACCCAATCCTGACACCTGTATGTTCTGTGTTATGCATTTTTGAGCCGGCTGATTGTGCAGTAACCACTCCTGACCCCTTCACTCTATGTGTTAATCATTCCACCCTATGCTCTGTTCAACATGCACTCCTGACCCCTGCACTCTGTATTACACACTCCTAACCTCTGTACTCTGTATTACACACTCCTGATGCTCTGCACAATAGATACTATGAGACACCTTTCATAAATCTGACTATTGCACTGTATATTGGGTTTTATATGACATACTCCTGACCACTGCACCCTAGTAGTACATTACTCCAGATGTTCTTCTTTAAGGCGCTTGTAAGGGGACTTCTAATTGGCTGTGTGCTAGTGCAAATTGTACCAGTTTTCACCTTGCTTCTTCTTGAATAGGACAGAGACCCACTGCTGGTAGATGAGAGCCATATTGTGTCCAACTCCTGGCCGTAGGCCCGCTCACAGTATCTCTGGCCTTAGGCCTAATATTAAAGAATAAAGCAATGTCTACACAAGTAATGCTTTTTCTACACTTCTGTCACCAAGATTAACAAAGTGCTTTTCTGTAGTATACCAGTTTCTCTCTCTCTAAAATCCCATGTTATAGTTCTGCCCAGTGGGGCATGCTCCCAGATGTCCTGTGATAAAGTCGGAAGTGACGAAACGTGTTAGAGGTGAAGTCAGACATAGACCGGAAGTTGTGGAGCGGCCATCTTGGACGAGGTCTATAGTGAGCAAACGCTGATTTTAAAGGAGAACATGCTATTAAATTATGTTTGTGTGTAAGCGCTTTTTTATGGAATAAACACCGATTTTAATACTTTATTACACTATGGAGGCCTTTTTGTTTTGATCCATTATATATTGACATTTGAGATCAGAAGTATTATTGGCTAAATCATCGTTATTCATTATTGGTGAAGTGGTGTAGCCTGATGCCTATGTGGCATTGGGAGCAATAATGGCCAGGAGGAGCCGGTAGTATTCCATGCTGACGACCCAGTCTGGTCCGGTAAGATGCATGGTCTGTGCGGTGGTGGAGTGTGGATTCACATTTCACTGGTGGTAATATGGATGTGTAAAGGGATCACAAGAGAGCACCATATTGAGAAGTCAAGATATCATACTATATTCTGATCTTTTCTGAGGGTCCATTACTTTGGAGAGGAAAGACGGAGAAAAGTTTACTGTGTGGGAGAATCTTATTGGTGGAATGTATTATGATTGATGTAAATATTCAAGTAATTAGAGGGTAAGCGTAAGGATAACAGATATTTAGACGTGGACACTTGGTGAAGTGTGGAGCACATTTTTTACGTATTTTTGTAAGTGTGATTCGGAGTTATAATTTTGCGCATATTGAGGATAATACACTATGTGCGTTTTTTTTTTTTTTGAGGGTAACAAGTGGAGAAAGGATTAATTATCTCGCACAGAAAGAACTGAACAAAGAAGGATTTATTCATCACTTTAGCGGTTACTTATTTAAATACGCTGCGAGAGACTTTTTTTTTTAATGCTCTCAGATGCTACTTTAACTCCCAGGTATACTAGTACTTATGTCAGCGAACGCTTAGCCTGGCCTAAAAGACCTTTTATATCCCTCTCACAGTCCACATCAAACCGTTAAATGAGTTAGGGCAACTACAGCTGGTTCTTTTGCGTGAAGCCTACCTCACCTGGGGCTTCAGCCCTATGAAGAGCCCTAAGAAGTAGCAGACTACATGCACGTGGCTCTGGAATGTTTGGTTCCCATGCCCCGTCTTTGTCTGACTTCTCCCAACCTGGCATTTACACGGACACTAATTCCACCCATTACATCGCTACAGGAGGGCTTTCTCTAAAAGGGACCTAACACCCAATTACATCAATTACATAATTTCCTCTACCATATTATTTTGGGACAAAACCACCCAGTGGCAGACTAGCTAACTGCACCTACTAACACTGCCAAAAAGTATTTATGATGGAACACCTTCATTTAAAAAAAAAATTGTATACCGAGGTCTGTTAAAATCTCACTTGTGGCATAGTCATAGGCATATTTTGTAGGTAAAAGGACTGGGGAATATGTGTGCTGTGCATGCAGTGAGTGAGTAGGTTTCCTAGGTTCTGCAGCAGTCAGCAGAAAATGTCATTGTCAAATGTTTTATAAATATTTGATGTAAAATGTATTTGAAGGGTAATTACTGTTCATTACTGCATTCTTTGGAAAAGAACTGTGATTGGCTGTCACAAATTCACATGACCGGGCCCCCATCCCATCGCTCCCAATCATAATAAGAGACTAGGATAACACCTGGGAGCTGTTGGATGTGAAAAGTGTGCGCTCTTAGCACAGAAACCTTAGCTGCCATGGATGCATCGCATCGACTTAAACCCCAGCCTACTTGCCACTTAACATAATTGTTATTTGGTCGGCAAGAGATTAACTATTTCCTGTCTGCTCATTGCCTGTACACGGCAGACAGGAAGCAGCGCTGATTAGGGCTGACGTACCTGTATATCAGCCCACATCAGTGGCTCCTGTGCAGCTCACAGAGCATGCACCTGGGAGCCTGGTGTCACCATCACATTACTGCTGTGTCCGGGGGGGTCATATGGTATTGTACCATGTGTGTCAGGGCAGGAGCTGAGGAACGGACAGGCAGGCCTAACAATGTAACGCACTGGCTGACGACAACCACCACCCACAGACCGAAGTCCCTCAGGGCGCGGAGTCTAAGTCCCAGGCTGCCCTTCACCAGGGCCCCTGATGGTGGGGATGGACTTGACGCAGCCAGGAACCAGGTCGCGGCCCCCGAGACACCTCAGCTGCGGTAATGGCCGCCGCCAATGGCGTGTAGCTGGTGGAAGAGACAAAAGAGTAGTCAGACAAGCCGGGGTCAACAACAACAGGACAAAACAGTACAGGACAGCAGACGAGAATCACAGGTCACTAGCCGGGTTCAGCAACAGAGGGTCAGATCAAAGGAGAATACAAAGAATAGTCAAGTCACAAGCCGAATCAGATACCAGGAGAGTCACGAGAGTCAGAACAGAGTAATAGCAACACAAAGACACAAGACACAAGTGCAAAGAGCATGTGCGGGCCACAGGCTTATATGTCATCAGCCACACCCCTCTGGGGGATGGACCACAGAAACCTGAAGGCATAAAAGGATTCCCATCATGCACAGCAGAATCCAAGATGGACGCCAGCACATGGAGTAACATAACCTCAGGGAAAAGGTAGGACCTTGACAATGTGATTGCTGTGTCCAATCACAGCAATCACATAGTAAACAATGCCAAATGAAAGTAAAGATCGGTTCTCTTTCCTCTCACTCTGAGAGAAGAAAGAAGCAATGCTGCAGTCTGTCACACTGCTTGTGCACTCACAGACTGAAGTGCCAGCCACCCCAGTGTCCCTGATCACCGCCCCACTGTAATCATAATAAAAAATGCAGCCAGCCCTCTTACCTGTCCCAATGGTTACAAAAGCACCACCATGCAACATACCAATGATCTGATCACCGCCATAGCAGTGTCCTGACCACCGCCATACCCCATACCAGTGCCATGATCACCGACATATGCCACACCAGCCTCCTGATCACCACCATACACCATACCAGCACCCTGATCACCACCATACGCCATACCAGCGCTCTGATCACCGCCATAAACCATACCAGTGCCATGATCACCACCATACACCATACCAGCACCCTGATCACCACCATACGCCATACCAGCACTCTGATCACCACCATAAACCATACCAGTGCCATGATCACCACCATACACCATACCAGCACCCTGATCACCACCATACGCCATACCAGCGCTCTGATCACCGCCATAAACCATACCAGCATTCTGATCACCACCATACACCATACCGGTGCCCTGATCACCACCATACACTATACCAGCACCCTGATCACCACCATACACCATACCAGCACTCTGATCACCGCCATAAACCAAACCAGTGCCATGATCACCGCCATTCCAGAGTCCTGATCACCACCATAGGCCATACCAGTGCCCTGATTACCCCATATGCCATAGCAGCGTCCTGACCACCGCCATACATCCTTATCACACCCATACCCCATACTAGCGTCCTGATCAATGCTATACCACATACCAGCATCCTGATCACCGCAATATGTCCTGATCACCGCCATACCTCATACCAACATCCAGATCACTGTCATACATCATACCAGCGTCCAGCATTTTAGGGTCTCAACTAATCAACTTTCAGATGTATATCCCATAGTTTGTAGACTCTATAACACAGATTAAATAATATACACTATTTTGGGTTATTTTTACCCACAAAATGTAAAGAAATACATTTTGGCCTAAATTTATGAAGGAAGATTATTTATTTGCAACATTTTATAACAAAAACTAAGCAAAAAATGTTTTTTTTCTTCTTCAAAAGTTTCGGTATTTTTTCACTTATATAGCAAAAAGTAAAAAAAAAACACAGTGGTGATCAAATGCCACTATAATGGAACCCCAAACACAGCTAGGAAACATGCAGTAAAAATGCACAAAGCTCAATGCCTGAAAGATGCAGAAGCTTCTTTGGCACATTTGTCATGCATAGGGCAGCCCATTCGAGTGAAAAAAATGTGACAAAAGATGTGCTAGTGTAGGGCTTGAAATTTCCTCTCGCCAGCTCGCCAATGGCGAGTGGAAATTATGGTGGGGGTCATTGCTGAGCAGGCTCGGAGCTCAGGCTGGATCTGTCATTGGCACTGGGAGCCGTCAGACTGCTCAATAGCTGAGCGCAGTGAAAGCAAAGGAAGGAGTGTGTGCTGTGCTCTCTGCCTCCCCCTAGGGTGCAGTACCCGGCTCTATGAGTGAACAACGAAGTACTGCAACTTTTTATGGGTGAGTGTGTGTGTGTACATGTACATGTGTGTGTTTGTGTGTGTATGGATGTACAATTGTACATGTGTCTGTGTGTATGTACATGTGTGTATCTGTACATGTGTCTGCGTGTATGTACAAGTGTGTGTGTGCATGTACATGTGTGTGTTTGTATGTACGTACATGTGTTTGTGTGTACATGTGTCTTTGTATGTATGTACATGTGTCTATGTATGTATGTACATGTGTCTGTGTGTATGTACATGTGTCTGTGCGTGTGTATTTCTGTGTATGTACATGTATCCGTGTGTATGAGTGTCTGTACGTGCCTGTGTGTGTATACGTGTCTGTATGTGTGTGTGTGTACATGTGTCTCTGTGCGTGTGTGTACATGTTTCTGTGTGTGTATGTGTATGTACATGTCTGTGTGTATGTACAGTTGTCTCTGTTTGTGTGTGTTTGTTGGTGGCGGGTAACTCTAAGGCCTGGCTAGTAGCTCAGAACTTAAAATTTTAAGCCCTGTGTTAGTGTGACATGCAAGTGTGAATGGGGACGAATAGGCTGCTGTACCCATGACACACAAACGTGACACGGTGCACATATGTGCCAGCATAAGGTTGCTTGGGCGCTAGGATGGGGGGTGGTGGTGGAAAAATTCAAATACCCAGCCTCTTGCTGGCAGGGCTGCTGTTAGAAACCATGGGGCCCGATACAAGCAACCTGACAGAGCCCCCCCCCCCCAAAAAAAAAAAAACACAGTTTACTATGCTTCATTTATGAATGAACACGGTGAGTGATCGGTATCAATAACTCAATGTGTTAATTCAGGAAAGGGGCTGGTAAATGTGATATATTTACTGGACCCTTCCCCCAACTCTCCATCTTGAAGGTTCCTATTGCGTGCTTGCAGCTGCCAGTGGAAAGGAGAGGAGCGAAGCCGGCAGCACTGCGGGGATGGGGGCACACAGGGGGGCCTGGGCAGGAGGAAAGTTATAGTGCACAAGGAGGGTGATGGTTGCGGTGGGGAGGGGGGGATTATTGGAACTGATCCCCTGTACAGCTAAAACCAAAGGGAGAAATAGGAGAAGAAGCCAACTTTCAGCTGCTGCAGAAAGAGCCATACAGGGGATTGGTTCCAGGAACTGCAACCCCCCTCCCCCCCCCCCGCCATGCTGATCATCCTCCCTGCCCACATCTGATTCACCCATCTGCCTGGGCCCTGTACATGAGGACTGGTAATACCCCCCAGGGGTGGACTGACAACTCATGGGGCCCCCGGGTAATAGGGGATCATGAGGCCCCTGTGTCCTTGCTCAAACTCAAAAAAGCCTATGAAAAAGGTATCAGGGGCATCTCATGGGGCCCCCTACTGACCCCGGGCCCTCGGGCAGTGCACGAGTTTCCAAATGGTCAGTCCGCCCCTGGTACCCCCTTATTTATGGCTCTGCTTGCTGGGGATTCATGTTATAACTCCTTCTCTTTGCTTTACCCTCCATCATGAGATAATTAAAATACCTGCCTTTCATTCCCTAATACTGCCCCCTCTCTCCTACTGGGCACAGCATAGAAATTTTAGGCTCCATGTACACTAGCGTTTTTTAAGCTCCTAGAAGCTGTTATTAACATTTTTTTCTGCTCCTATGTGTCCATGCAAACTACTTTAGGCTATTAGAATTTTTCAAGCTTCAGCTCCTAGGAGCAGAAAAAAAACACTAATAACACACTAGTACTCCTAAATGCTTCTAAACGCTAAAAAACGCCATTAAGCTTCATGCACACTAGCGGTTTTTTTTTTTAAAGCTCAAAAAACACTGGGAAAAATGCTGGATAAAAAAAAACACTGGTAACAGCATTTTTAGTAGCGTTTTAGGAGCGTTAAGAAGCATTTAGGATCATTATCATTTTATTAGCATTTTTACAGTACATGTAGAGGGAAAAAAAAGCTAGAAAAAAGTGTTTCGGAGAGCTGGAAAATCTCTCCAAAAAACTCTACATAACATTTGTTTTTCTGCGCCTAGACGCTAAAGCTCAGAAAATGTTAATAGTCTAAAGTAGTGTGCATGGACACATAAGATGACACTGTTTAGCTTCTAGGAGCAGAAAAAAAAAACATGCTGATAACAGCTTCTAAAAAATGCTGGTGTGCATGGAGCCTTAGGCTGGCCATACACTATACAATTTTCTGTCCAAGTTCTGCCCAATTTCCTTTAGATTTACCTTTCACTATGTAGTGCAAGGGCCTGCCCAATTGGATACAACTGAAAGTATTGTTTAGGTTTGACCTCATATTATATGGTTTTGGTAAATCTAATGCAAAATTCTCAAGAAAACTGTATAGCGTATGGCCAGCCTTAGTTTGTCTCACCTGCCAAATGCACATAGCCAGTGTGGAGTGGCAGTGAATGATTAATCCCGCCCCCTCATTACACTCAGCTGTTTAACCACCTCCCACCCCGCCCCATCAGGAAATGACGGACAGGCAGGAGTTGCCTTGTTCTGGGAGGACGTCATAGGAGGACAAAGTGGCAATCGATCGCGGTAAAAGAGCTGATGACGTAGGCTCTACCATGTGATCAGCTGTGTCCAATCACAGCTGATCACATGTAAACAGGAAATGCTGGTAAACGGCATTCCTCAGATGGGACATCTACACTGATATCAGGGTACTGATCATCAGTGCAGCCCCTTTAGTGCTGTCTTTCAATGCCCATCATTGCCTCTGATCAGTGCCCATCAATGCTACAAAACAATGCCCATCAATGCCACATATCAGTGTTGCCTGTCAATGCCCATCAGTGCCGCCTATCAGTGCCTCCTAATCAGTTCAGTCTATCAGTACCCATCAGTGCCACCTATCAGTGCCACCTATTAGGGCCAGTTAGTGCCACCTATCAGAGCCAGTCAGTTCTGCTTATCAGTGCCCATTATTGCCGCCTATTATTGCCAATAAGTGCTGCCTATCAATGCCCATCAGTGATGCCTGTCAATGTCCATCAGTGCCTCCTCATCAGTGTAGTCTGTTACTCATCAATGCCACTTATCAGTGCCCATCAGTGCCGCCTATCAGTGCTGATCAGTGCTGCCTATCAGTGCCCATCAGTGCTGCCTTTTGGTGCCCATTGATGCCTGTCAGTACCCATCAGTGCCGCCTATCAGTGCAGCCTCATCAGCACACATCAGAGAAGGAGAAAAATTACTTATTTACTAAATTTTATAACAGAAACAAAGAAAAAAACTTTTATTTTTTAAAAAAAGTGAGTTATTTTTAGTATTAGTACCATAGTGACGGTTATTTTTATTACTAGGACCATAGTGACTTTTTTTTTATTATTAGTACCATAGTGACGGTTATTTTTATTACTAGGACCATAGTGACGGTTATTTTTATTACTAGGACCCTAGTGACGGTTATTTTTATTACTAGGACCTTAGTGACGATTATTTTTATTACTAGGACCATAGTGACGGTTATTTTTATTAGTACCATAGTGACGGTTATTTTTGTTACTATGACCATAGTGACGGTTATTTTTATTAGTACCATAGTGACGGTTATTTTTATTACTAGGACCATAGTGACGGTTTTTTTTTTTATTACTAGGACCATAGTGACAGTTATTTTTATTACTAGGACCATAGTGACGGTTATTTTTTATTACTAGGACCATAGTGACGGTTATTTTTATTAGTACCATAGTGACGGTTTTATTTTTATTACTAGGACCATAGTGACGGTTATTTTTATTAGTACCATAGTGACGGTTATTTTTTATTAGTACCATAGCGGCGGTTAGTTTTATTACTAGGACCATAGCGACGGTTATTTTTATTATTAGTACCATAGTGACGGTTATCTTTATTACTAGGACCATAGTGACGGTTATTTTTATTACTAGGACCCTAGTGACGTTTTTTTTTTTATTACTAGGACCATAGTGACGTTTTTTTTTTATTATTAGTACCATAGTGACGGTTATTTTTATTACTAGGACCCTAGTGACGGTTATTTTTATTACTAGGACCATAGTGACGGTTATTTTTATTAGTACCATAGTGACGGTTATTTTTATTACTGGGACCATAGTGACGGTTATTTTTATTAGTACCATAGTGATGGTTATTTTTATTACTAGTACCATAGTGACGGTTATTTTTATTACTAGGACCATAGTGACGGTTATTTTTATTATTAGGACCATAGTGACGGTTATTTTTATTACTAGGCCCATAGTGACGGTTATTTTTATTACTAGGACCATAGCGACGGTTATTTTTATTACTAGGACCCTAGTGAAGTTTTTTTTTATTATTAGTACCATAGTGATGGTTATTTTTATGACGGTTATTTTTATTACTAGGACCATAGCGACGGTTATTTTTATTACTAGGATTATAGCGACGGTTATTTTTATTACTAGAACCATAGCGACGGTTATTTTTATTACTAGGACCATAGTGACGGTTAACCATAGCGACGGTTATTATTACTAGGACCATAGCGACAGTTATTTTTATTACTAGGACCATAGCGACGGTTATTTTTATTATTAGGACCATAGCGACGGTTATTATTACTAGGACCATAGCGACGGTTATTTTTGTTACTAGGACCATAGCGACGGTTATTTTTATTATTAGGACCATAGCGACGGTTATTATTACTAGGACCATAGCGACGGTTATTTTTGTTACTAGGACCATAGTGACGTTTATTTTCTGTTGGTATTATTAATGTTCCTCTCAGTGACAACCCAATTGAGAGAGAAGTGAAGCGCGCTCCCGTGCATCATCTGACAGAAGCAATCCTCGTGCACAGCACACATGCGCGCCTCCTCCAATCCATGCTAGACTAGAACATTCTTTGCGCTGTTCAGCACCGTACCGGACGGTCACGCCCCCATCCCATGACGTAACGACGCTCCTAACCCATTCCCTCCTGACGCACATCGCGTCCATCTGCTTAGGGCTTCTATTCCTTTTGTGGTAGTTGAGGGGTGTCTGAATTAGGCGGAGTCTAGTGGCTAAGCCACCGCGAAGGGGCGGGGATACCCAGCGTTCACTGCGGCCGGGCGGCGGTTGGGGAAGCACGTTGTAGCGGGTCTGTAGCCGGGATACGAGCAGGAAGATGATGGAAGGGCCGTTAGCCGTGTTCGGGGAGCGCAGCTCCGGTGATATCGTCAGAAGCCAGAATGGTGAATACACGGGCAGTGTGAGGGCGGCCTGGGCTGAGTCAGCATGCTTCATAATGGGGCTGTAGGGGAAGAGGAGAGCATGCTGGGTGCGGAGGGCCATGTGAGCCTTCCTGAGGCCGGGGACAGCGCTCTGTACTGTGTATGGCCGTCACCCGTGCTGGGGTCTCCCAGGTCTCTCCTTCAGTCCTAATACCTGACCATGGGTAAACTACAACCCTTTCTCCTCTGGTGAACAATATATACATGGGGGGGAAGGGGTTTACATCATAATTGGAAGTGACCAGTGGGAGTCATAATAAAGTGTGCCCGCAGCCAAATCCCCATCCATAGGTATGGGGGAGGGGTTGGATCCCCTGTCAGTTGTTAATTGCTAACACATCCGCTCATTTCCAGTTGTCACAATAGGAAGTGATCGCAGACACTAGGTTTCCCCTCCTTTGTGAGGATGTCCCGAGGACACACTGGGGGTTATTTACTAAAACTGGAGAGTGCAAAATCTCATGCAGCTCTGCATAGAAACCAATCCGCTTCCAGGCTTTATTGTCAAAGCTTAGGATCTGCTCACATACAGGCATGTGGAATCGCTGCAATTCTGCCTGCAATTTCAAAATGCGCTGTTAGCCCAGGCTCACATATGTGCAGTTCCGTATATCGCATGTGATTCGCACAGTAACCGCACCTCGTTCCTGTGCAAATCACATGCGAATTGTGTGATTCTCAAATCATACCGCATCAAAAAGGTGCAGGACCTTTTTTTTTTTTGGTCCGCACTAGAGTCGGTTCGCATGGGTATTCACATCTATGCAATCTGATTCTGCACATTGCACCGTGTTTTGTGGACCGATTTCGGGGTGTTAACATACACACCCGCAGTGGTTTGCAGGAATGGGTGCGATTCTGAAAACGCTGCAAATTCCTCATCGCATCAGTGTGAACCAAGGCATAAAATGTCAAATTGCACATAAGCATGTTCAGGTTGCATTAATTTCAATGGCACCCAAAAACGCGAAGCGATTAGGAGCGACGCGTCACCCAAAAGACATTTGGGAACACTCTGCTTTTCAGTCTTGCTGATCACTTCCTAATTGGTGGTTGCCTGGCACGCTTCATCTTTTATGCTTTTAATGGTTCACCAGGAACAAGCATGATGCTAATGGTTAATAAAGTCTTCTTGATTTTCAAATGGCGGAGATCATTTACTAAAGCTGGTTCCCTCAGAATCTTGTGTACTTATGCATGCAAACCAATCAGCTTACCAGGTTGTCTTGCTAAAGCTTAAAGTGGTTCTAAAGGCTCAAGGTTTTTTTACCCCTATGTATTCTATGCATGAAGGTAAGGAAAAAAAAAAAAAACCTGTGTGCAGCTCCCACCCCAATTCTTACCTGAGTCCTCTCCAATCCAGTGATGTTCTTGTCAGCCTCTATCTGGGGACTCTTCCTTCTCATTGGCTGAGACAGCCAATGGGCTCCCGCTGCTGCTGTCAATCAGCCAGTAAGCAAATGAGGGAGGGGAGGGGGTTGAGCCTTGGCCCTGTGTTTTATGGATGCATAGAGCAATAGCTCAGGGACGAGCACATAGCGGTGCCCTCAGGGTGCACGGACTTCCCTGGGGACACTGCTTGATGGGGAGGAGCTATGAGTGCAGGGGAGGACCCGAGAAGAAGAGGATCTGAGCAAAACCATTGCACAAAGCAGGTAAGTATAGACATATAGTTATTGAAAAAAAAAAAAACTTAGTTTTAGTGTCACTTTAATTGAACAAGCCAAGGTTAGAAGCTGATTGGCTACCATGCAAAGGTGCATGCGTGAACCAGCTTTAATAAATAAACCCCAGTGTATTGAAGCTTTCAGGTTAGGACAGAGATGTAGCAAACATTCTTAATAGTAGAGGTCAGCATTGGCAGCCTACATTCTAGTGCAGGATTTTTTTTTACCCCATTTTAGTACCACTCTTTCCTTTCACTCTATGAAAGTGGTAGCTAATCTGATGGGAAATAAAAAAAAAAAAAAAAAGTTATCAGAAGGAGATGTCTGTCTTCTATGTGAAATAACAGAACATCAAAGAATACTTTATGTATACAGCGTATGTGTAGTACAAACACATAAGCTTTTTATTGTGGGATTGTTTACGATATGTTGCTTAGTAATATATTCTTGTGTATTTCAGGTATTTTGCGTTTTTGCACTTTAACAGACCACATGTTAGTATAATAAATAATAACCTCAATTTTGTTTTGTATTTTCAGTTATGGCAGCAGCATCCATTGCTAATATTGTCAAAAGCTCACTTGGTCCTGTTGGTCTGGATAAAATGTTGGTGGATGATATTGGGGTAAGCGTTTAAAGAAGCTTTGATTTTTCTTTGTTGACTTGCTTTATAAATTGGTGGTAAAATGTTAGAGGATGCGGTACAGGTCTCATATAGGATAAACTAACTTGCCTGGCAGTACTAGGGTCGTTGGTTCGAATCCCAGCCACGGCACCACCTGCCTGGAGTTTGTATGTTCTCCCTGTGCCTGAGTGGGTTTCCTCCGGGGACTCCAGGTTTCCTCTCACACTCCAAAGACATGCTGGTAGGTTAATTGGCTCCTGTCTAAATTGTCCCTAGTATGTGTATGTATGAATGTGAGTTAGGGACCTTAGATTGTACGCCCCTTGAGGGTCGGACTGATGTGAATGTACAATATATATGTAAAGCGCTGCGTAAATGGACGGCACTATATAAGTACCTGAAATAAATAAAGATCCTCTTGTGTAGTGGAAAAACAGAGTCCTCTATATAGGTTTGTTTTGCTGCTCAGTATGCCCTTGGGTATAGTGAACCATGATGATGGTCGGACTGCATGGGCTGTCAGGAGTTAACCAACCAGCCCTAGCCACATTTAGGATCTGTTTATATTTTGAAGTAACATAAGCATTATTGCAACTAACGTACGTAAGTTAATCCAGGGCTCAACAAATCCCAGGCGCCAGGTTGCCATGGTGACTAGAAATTGCATCCTTGCACCTGGTGTTTGACAGCCGTCCACTAGCGGGCATTGGGAAGCTGCTTTACTGATCCAGGGAAATCCAGCAGCTTAATTTCCTAGCTTTTCTTCCTCTCCATCCAGTCACAGCTCAGGGTGCCTCTCACGCAAAATTTAAAGGTTTCCTAGCCATAGCTCTCAGCGTATGGCCAAGAGGCATTCTAATTGGTCAGCACCATCACATGGTCAGTGCTGAACAATCAGAATCCATCTAGACTGTCCTGTCAGTGCTGAGAGGAGAAAGAGAGCAGCTGGGATTTTTTTTTTTTTTTTTTGGGTTCTCGTTTGAATGGGCTGCCTTAATGCGACACACAGTAAGTTGTTACACGTCACAATGTCTACTATCGTAAAAAAAAACAGACCGCCGACATGAGAAAGGGCCATAAAAGCACATTTTCAGCCAAAACACAAGGAAAACCCTAACTAGACGAGGGCAGCACAGTGGCTAAATGATTAGCACTTCCGCCTGGCAGTACTAGGATTATTGGTTTCGAATCCCCTCAATGGCACCACCTGCCTGGAGTTTGCATGTTCTCCCTGTGATGGATTCCTCTGGGTACTTTGGTTTCCTCCCACACTCCAAAGACAATGCTGGTAGGTTAAATGGATTCTGTCTAAGTTGGCTCTAGTATGTGTATGTATGAATGTAAGTTAGGGACTTTAGATTGTGTGTGTGTTTGTAGCGCTGCGTAAATTGACGGCGATATACAAGTACCTGTAATAAATAAAATAGACAGCCGTTTGTAGCACCTTACAGTCTAAGTTGGGATCAGTAGGGACTTCACGTTTGCCAAGTTCTACCAGGTGGATGTTGAACAGAGGAGCAGGTGGCAGCCTTACAAATCTGTAAAACAGATTCTTGGTGTTGAAAAGCCTAAGAAACTCCCTCAGACCTAGTGGAGTGGGCCTTAACAGGAAAGGGGGGAGCCTTATTCTATAGAGAATAGGCTGCAACAATGACATGTTGAATCCACCTAGCGATGGTGGAACAAGAAGCCGAATGCCCTTTGAGAACCTTGAGGAAGGTCAAAGAAAATCTGAAAGCCTAGGAGGCTTTAGCTGACGGGTAAACATGCACAGCAAAGAGAGCCCGCTTGGGGGCTGGACAGAAAGGTTGTAGATCAACATCCTGATTAAGGTGAAAGGAGGAGACCACCTTGGGCAAAAAAAAAAGAAACCTTTTAAGGGAGTTCAGCTAAGGGAGTATCCGTAATAGGTTAGAAAGGAGGTTTCTGAAGAGCTGAGCACACTAGCTTGAGGTCCCATGGTGTCATTGTAATGTGTTTAGGATGAGCTAAATGCGCAACTCCCCGCACAAAAGTCTGGAATGAGAGGTCAAAAAGTCTGACCCTTGAGGGTACTCAAGGCCAGATGCTGATCCAGACTTAACTGTAGAAAAGTCAGGATACGTCCAACAGAATACTGTCTAAGATGAAACTTGAAACGCAAAATAGGCCTTGTATGTGTAATCGTATATTTTGCAATAAGTCAACTACATAGCATGGAGGAGTGTCAGGATAAATTAATTCAATAAGCCTCTGGCCCTCAGGCCATGGACTTCAACAGCCTAGCCATCGAAGCCAGCGACTGAGAAGCAGAATGGTAGATCAGAACTTGAGACAGAAGGTTTCGTCAGTCTGCAAGATGCCAAGGGGAGTCTGCCTGCATTCAGAGAATGAGTACCGAGTTGTCATGGGCCAGTTTGGTGGCATAAGAATCACTGGAATAGCCTTTGAGACTCAACCCTGCAGAGTAGTCGAAGGCACTTTAGTGGAAGAAAAACATAGATAAGATGAAGCTGATCTTGAAGAACCACCGGGACATCGACTGCACAAGCCCAAGGATTTAGGGACCTGATGATGATCCTAGCCAGCTTTTTGTTGAATCAGAATGCCAAGTCCATATCTGGTATCCCCCCCCCCCCCCCCCCCCCCATGACAAGGTCCCGAAACAAGTCTGAGTAAAGGACCACTCTCTGTGATCCAAACAGACATTGATGGCTGAGAAGGTCGGCTTGCCAATTTTCTACTCCTGGAATGTGTACTGCGGTAAGGACCAAAATGTGATTGCCCAAGTCAGAACCAATTCCCTTCTGGTGACTCCTTGATGTAGGCTACTCCCATGGTATTGTCTGACTGGACATGTCAGAAGTACAGTGATGAGGAGACAGTCAAATTGCTCTGAGCTCCAGAAGATTTGTTTATGGGAAGGTTGATTCTTCCCCTGACCAGGTTCCTTGAACCATCCATGTTCCAAAGACTCCTCCCCAGCATCGGCCTAAAATTTATTTATTTTTTTTTAATACTTTTGTTGGATATGTTTTATAATAGAAAAATTTTTTTTTTTCTAAAACTGTTGTTCTTTTTTGTTTATAACGCAAAAAGTAAAAACTGCAGAGGTGGTCAAATAACAAAAGAAAGCTCTACTTGGGGGGGAAAAAGGACAAAAATTTCATTTGGGTACAGTGTTGTATGACCGTGCAACAGTCAGTTAAAAATAACGCAGCGCTGTAACGCAAAAAATGGCCTGGTTAGGAAGGAGGGTAATTCCTCCGGAGCTGAAATGGTTAAAGTGATTGTAAACCTTGGATTTTTTTTTTTTTTTCAACAAACATGTCAAACTTACTTGATCTGTGTAATAGTTTTGCACAGAGCAGCCCTGATGATTTTTCTAGTGTCCCCCGCCAGTACTTCTGGGTCCTCCTGCCCCTAAGCAAGCCGTAAAAAAGTATAGTGTAGAGTTCCCCTATAGTAAGGTAAAAACCTTATGCCTTTAGAATTACTTTAAATCACTTCCTTAGGTTCAGGACTGCATGTCCCACAAGGCATTGCTCCTCAAACATTCACAAGTTCTCAGTCACTTACTGACAAGTATGAAGGGTGTACTGAGCTGTATGTATGCTGCACTGTATTTTCCTGATATGTAAGCCAATTATGAATCCTGTATGCAGGCCACCTAACCAGCTGACCAACTAATCAATTATGAAAATAGTTGTTAACAATTAGTTTTTTCAGACATAGAATTTTATACAAATTGGGCAGTTATTTCTGTGGACCTGGTTATTGCCTGCCTCAACGGGTTCCTTAGGTTCCACCAGGAAAACCTACTTGCAATTCCAATTTTCCCCTGCACCAGCGATTTTTAATGTTTTGTGTGAGGGACGATCATTTTCAATTTGTGGCTCTCCTTTTCAGCTTATCCACTGCTCGTGTTTACACAAAGGTCCTGGCTCTTCTTTGCTTTCAGAGTGTCTGCACTGTAGTTTACCTTACTGACCTGGTGTTGAAAGATTGGTCCGGCCAGCCTTTGAATGCCAGTTCAAAGAAGGGATCCTTCAGCAGTGCAAGTACTCCCCTGTGAGGCGAAAGTGCAAGATCAAGTGTATATATATATATATATATATATATATATATATATATATATATATATATATATATATATATATATATATATATATATATATATATATAGAGATGTGTGTGATTTTGCACAGGAGAGCAGCCCTGTAGCAGTAAAACCGCTATAGGGTGAATGTAAAGTGGTTAAGGGCTCTGTGCAGGGAAGATCAGCATCTGAACTCAGAGAAGCTGAAAGCAGAGAAACATGTGGGCATGCTTGTGGGCATTGTCAGGCATCACTGATGGACACTGAAAGGTAGCACTCATATATGGCACTGACAGGTGGCACTGTGATTGGTGTGATTGGACAAAGCTGATCACATGGCAGAGCCGGTGTCATTGTCTCTTTACAGTCATCGGTGATCCCCTGTCCCCTGTGTCCCAGATTGCCGCACATATGACGTCCTCCCAGAATGAGAGAACCTTCACCCTCCCATCATTACCTTATATGGCGGGCAAGAGGCTGTTAAAGTAGTAGAGTCCCCTTCGTGATTTCTACCTACAGGTAATTTTTTGAGGTTTTCATCTGATTAATCGAATGTATAATCTGCCAACTAATCGATTTATGAAAATAATCGTTTCGTTGCAGCCCTATAAAATTCCTCTTCCAAGGAATATTGCTGTGAAAAGCAGTTAATGTATAAAGACCTTTTCAGTATGCGACCAATACAGTATAAATAGTCTGAGTGCATTGGAAAGGCTTCGGAGTCTTCTTACGGCCCATACTAGTAACTTGGTTGGATGGTGTCCAGAGGTTCAATTTTAAACATGAGCACACCTCGTCCACCAAGACAGAAATGTCTGAATTTAGGTGAAAGAACTGCTGAAGTGGCCACCTCTGTCTTAGAATTGTTTGAGTCCTCTTCGTCTTTTAAAACCTCCTCTTTCTGCCCTCCCTTTCCTGTAGT